CTGCCTCCGCGCGCCTCCACTGCCTCCCCGCACGCATCCCTCCCCCGCCGTCGTCAGCCTGCGCCGCCGGCCCTCGGCCGCGTGATGCTGGCGGCGGTGGGCTTGCCCTTCCCCGCGCGCGGTCCTCCCCTGCTCGGGCGGTGATGGCCGGCGGCGGTGCGCTTCGGCCGGTGGCGGTCCGGCGTCCTGGTGTGGAGGCCGGCGGTGCTCACCTTGGTGGTGCCGCCTCTTGGCGGCGGGGTGGTCCGGTGGTGCTGGCCGGCCGGGGGCCGTCCCCGGTCCAGATCTGGGCCCGTAGGGTTCCTTCTGGGTCCTAGCGGGTCGATTCCGGCGCAACCGCGACGCTCTCTGTATGAGGAGGCTGGGGAGCGGCTTGGACTGGGTCAGCGACGCCGGCGGCGTACCAGCTGCTGCGCGGAGGCGGGAGCTGTCTGGGCCTTTGAGGGCCCGGCCGGGCCTGTGGGGCCACGGGCCTGGTAGGCTCCTGCCATGGCGTCCGATCGGCTACCGTCGTGGACGGTGGAGGTGGGGCCCTCCCGTATGCCGATGGTGCTGTTGCTCTAGTCCCGGCTCCTCTTCTCCGTTGTGCAGACCATCTTCGCGGTGCTATGGTGAGACAGCGTGGGAAGCTTCGTGTTCGTGTTGGCGCAGGGTGGTGGTCGGTCTGGTGGCGAGCTCCGGAGTGCCTGAGGGAGAGGCTGGGATCGGGAGAAATCTTTGTTGGCTTGGCCGACACCGACGCGGTGGCGCCTGAGGGTGCCGCCGGACCTTCTTGGAGGGCGTCGGGGCTACCCTTCCTCTCTCCTCGCCGTGTACCGGGGGAAACCCTTGGCAGCAGCGTCGTCATCGTCGCGTCCCTTCTTGGAGGTGTTGTTGGGTACAAGCACTTCGGAGTCTCGGAGCTTGGTGGGTGATCTCCGGTGGACGCAGCGGTCACGAGGCTTCGTCGTTTTTGTCGATCCGCCGTTATCGGCATTTGTTTCTTTTCTTTTTTCTCTTTCTTTTCTTTTTGGGCGTGTTTGTGCTGCTTCCGCCCCAGCCCCTATCGTCGGTTGTATCGGTTGGTTGCTTTATAATACAAAGCGGGGGAAACCCTTTTTCGTCAATATATGGTCCGCTCCAACTTTATTATCCTTTTTAAGCTCTGTCATCATCAATTCCGTCTCCATGTTGCTGAGGTTTTCTATTCGGCAGCACACGACACAGGAAGAGTCTGCTGGTACGGAGAGATGTCATGCAATGGTGCGCTGTTAGTGGATGAATCTACTACCACTATAAAAGGAAGGGAGGGGCAGATCCAAATAATTTTAACCGTTCATCTACAATATTTGATGGCTAATAATCCTTCCGTGTTTAACACAACAAGCCACGCATTAAGCCAAATACATCGATCCCTAATCTGCCCCGCCGTTCAGAAAAAAAACCTCTACCCACACACGACCGCACGACCTCGCCCCCTCCTCCCCGCACGTCTCTCGACCCCTCCTCCCACGCCGTTCGCCGCCCCGCCATACCTCCCGCAGCCTCGCGCCCCCGTTAGCCGCAGGAACC